AATATTTCAAAGTTAATTTCAAAATATGTGAAAATGTTATAATATTTCAGCAAAATATACTGATCGTACCACACTTTTTATTAAATGATTGCAGACGTAGTGGTGTATGAGAAACTTCTTTCATTAAAAAAAAACGTTTTGATGCTTTTTTCATCTAAGAAGGTTATTATCCTCACATTTGGATTGTCTTACTCTTTTCACCACTAGAAATGCAACGATCAATCGATTTTACTAATAACCTTACTTTAATTCATCACTGTTATCAATTTCACTATTAACCTTATTTTAATTAGTCACTGCTAATTACTCATAAAGGCTCAACACCGAGTTTCTGCATTGAACAAAACAGCTGCAACTGAAGAAAGTAATGCCAACTGCACGCTAGTTTAAAGTTTCAAGCTTGTACACCAAGGATAATATGCACACACACTGGATTAGCTATGTCTGACTTTTAACTAATAATGCAAGTTCGTGATTTCTGTTCTTCCACACATATTGGGAGTGATGTGCACAAGGCACAACATGCACCTAGTTAAACTTGAAAAAATGGTGCAAGCGCACCGTAGGTCATGTCATGTGACAAGACCTGAGCCAATTAGCTTTATACTTTGTATGGAATATACACATTTCTACTGCAAAGAGAATAAAAATATAAAAATGAAAATACCAAACAAGTTCATAATATAGTTGATCAAAATTGCCTTTCAAACAGAGGTTCAGCAGCCTTTGACTACATTTGTTCTCTTTAAAAAGGGAAATACTTAGCTAATATAGTGCTAAGATTTACCTTAGACAAATACCATTTTTATTTTATTTATATTCTTATTTTTATTTTTTTTATTTACTCATTTTTCTGTCATTTTTTTCAGTGTAAAATTATTACTTATGTTTAAACGTCAACAACTTTTTTTTTTTAACTTATTTTTAAGTGCAAAGACAAATGGACTATTGTTTGTTTTTATTATTATTTTGAGCTGTATTATTTAGTTACTGAGCAGCAATAAAACAAACACTTTAAAATTTAAAGAGTTTTCATGAGATTTACTAAATTAGTAGTGTTTTGAAATTAATGAATGCATAACAACTGTGATAACCGTGAAACTGAGATTATTCCTCAGACTATAACCCTACAACCTAAATCTATAATCGTTGCATCCCTATTCATCATGATACCACAATACAATTTTTTCTCTAGATTGTCTTTCTGATCTATTTGAGTACATACAGAGAGAAAACACATGCGATAAAGCCGAAAACTAACAAATCAAACGAATCAAGTAATCAAATTAATCTGCAAATTGAATAATATCACACAGTTTATTTTTACCAAATAATAGCAAAGCATTAATACTATTTTACAATTTTTTAAACTACCACTGTCGAAAATGAGGTATTATCATATCATTTTGTCAACACAGATCCAAGCTGTAATAATAATAAACAACTATGTGACATTAACCTAAAACTGAAGGCCACCCTGACACATAAATAGTCTCCAGCCACTAAGCCAGTCTCGGCCGAAGAGCCCACTTCATCTTCAGACACAAAGCTCTGTGATTAGAATTTGGTCCTGAAAAAAGGAGACACAGAAAGAGAGGGAGAGCGAGCAGTATGTGTCGTGAAGTGTTGCTATTACCGTCTCCATGGGCAACTAAAGAGGAATCCTGCCAATTCTGTGAGTAGGTTGTGTCTGGGAGGGAAGCGAAAGCACAATCCTTAAGGTATTATTCTAATTCAATGTCTGTCCAAGTCCACGGGAAAACATCCAGAAGAGAGAGAGGAACATTCGGCCCGCTGACAACCCAAGAGAGCGCTACTACCTGGGGAGAAACCCCACAGATACCCTGCCCGCTGAAGATACCATGTGCAATAGAGCACCTTAGCGGGAATCCATTTAAACTAGCACAACCGATGCCAGGAAAACACCAGGTGCATGCGACAAACCTCAACCTGTGGGAATGATCGTGGGCAACGGTGCAAAAACAATTCTGAGCGGAATCTTTTCATTATTTCTCTCAACTCAAACTGGAACAAATTAAAATAACACAAGTCAGATCAGGTGGTTTCATATAACATAAATAAAACTGTTAGATAAAGAAGAAAGTAAGAAAGAAATCCCAGTTTTGCCAAGCAGCAAGTGATTCTCAATGTGAAAACTCATGGTCTTTGAGAACAAAAGTTCACCCAAAAGTGAATGTACTCATCTCCAGGCTATCCAAAAGAATAGCAAAACATTAGGAAGACTTTTAGTTTAAATGCTTAACCTTTCCCTCCTATAATGATATGTACTGTGATTTGTATAATGCAAATAAAAAGATTGCCACTCAAGTCAAAATAACATATGTGGGCAAAACAAAACTAGTACATGTGCCTCCTGATAATGTTAAGTGAAATGATCAGTCCTACTAAGGGACCAAACGTTATTTACAACATATTTACATCAATTCCAAAGCCTCAGAAAATGCTTCTAAGCTTCCTGACAAAAATATGTGGTTGCACTAACTTATGCACATGTGCTGATACCATTTGTTTACAATGGTGAGGGTCAACTGCCCCTCCAAAATTTAATAATTGACATTATGAGATATCAGAACTATTTACTGACATTGTCAATGAAATGTATCAATGCTGTGAATAGGCCTGCACAATATATTGCTTGAGCATTGATATCACAATGTGTGCATCCACAATAGTCACATCGCAAGATATGCAATGTTGAGTTATGAATATAGATGGCCAGAATCCACAGGTCCAAACACATGAAATTTGTGGAGACGCTGCAGAATTGAACTATTATAGAGATAAGGTTTTAAAAGGTTTTAAAGAATATAAAAAGGCTATATAGAATATAAAATAAATTTTACTGAATTATTTATATGATGAAGACTATGCAATGCTCGTTTACATTTGATAATTCAATTTCTCTACCTGAATACTGTTGGACACTCCCCAGATAACCATAAAGCTTTGTATTTTGTTTATTACATGTATATAATTAATTACATAAAATACATTTATATTTCACTCCCATATAAATCATCCCAATGAATCTAAAGTATAGACTTTACAAACAGAGCTATTTAAGTCATGTGGTGAAATTGTATTTATATCCCAATATATATTGCATGGTAAATAATAATGTAAAAAATGTACCATATCATGCAGCTCTAGCTGTAAATACTGCTCCCACAAAGACAGTTTTGCTTCGGAAGATCTCAGTGCATCATAAGGAACCACAATATTCATTTAATTTTGCCCTGTATGTGTGTTTTGTTTTATTTTGACTGTCAAAGTGCCAGTAAACTATTCACTTTTTACAAAACACAAAGAACCACCACTTAAAATAAAAATTCTTCTTAATGTTCTGCTTTTTTTTAAAAAACAGTAACACTTCAGTTTAAGCACAAATTCCCACTCTTAAATGCTGGTACTTATAAAGTATGATCTTATTCAGCATCTCAAATACACAGCAATTAGTTCATTAAGAAAAAACTAGTTAATGGTTTGTTAACAGCAAGAATTGCACCATAAAATAAAGTGACCAAAAACGTACTGTACATCTTGGTTAGCATGATGGTGATTAAAAGAACAGCAATGTTTTGATTTTGTGTGAATGACCTCTCTATTCTCTAACTTTATAAATGCAATGAACCGCTGCTCCACATACTGACAAAGCTTAGCAGAGATCACAGAGCGCCACTCATAAATACAGAACAAGAGCAAAACTAGAATGACCTTTATAATCCTACATCCTACATCATTGGGTTACTGTATTTAAATTTGTGTGATTGTCATTTTATGGCATAACCATGAAGCAACTACTAGTTAATTTTTAATTCCATCAGCTTGAAAGAGCATTCCCTCTACCACCTCCAAAAAATCCACTCTACCATATTAATCAACTAACCAGGATAATTACTGCACTTGCAATTAATACTGTGACCAATACATCGGGATAATTGCATTTTGTGGCAGTTGTGCCTTTCTCCTCTCTGCTGCAGCCGACATCTCAATTAAGACATTCGACTTACTGATTACGATTTTTATGTTTGTCTTTCATTAGCAAGTCCTGTAAAAATCAATCCTGACTGTGTCAACCTTCATGCACAGACCTACTTCTATTTAGAGGTAATAATAACTGGATGTCTGCATAACAATGCACTCAAAATACGTCCACTTAAAATGCTATTCAAGCGGGATCACAAGCACACTTTAAATTACAATGTCTATTTCATAATATATTATCCATGTCATAATAATTAATTACCATGACATTTGCGAATTACAAGCAACATAAGATAAGCATTAAGTGCATTGTTGAACACATACAGTCCTACACAATTATGTATGCACAGTGTCATGATTCAGAATATATAGAAATAGGAAGTAAAACATGAGGTACCTAATGCCACAAATTATTTTGAGACGGTTTGAGTTAGGGCTGCATAATACAAAAAAAATCTGACATTGCAATATATTGTTATACTTATTGTTAATATATATTGCGATCTGAATACAATTTCACCAGATGACTTAAATATTTCTATTTGGAAAAAAAATTATCAATTTAGATTGATTAGGATGATTCTGTATGGGAGCGCATCTGCATATAATCTAATAAACACTCTATAAATACAATAAAGAAACAGATCGAATTAAAATAAACAGTACAATTTGCTGTCTAACAGTAATCAGGTAATTGAATAATAAAAATACACTCAAATTAATTACTTTTAAAGTTACAAACAGAACAATTTCTTATGCCTGGATGTTTTAAAATCACTATACAATCACAGGCCTCAAAAACAATGCAAATGATCAATTATAATAGAAAATCAACACTGTATTTCATGCAATGTGACTATTGTGAATGATCTTTTCAAAAAAGAATTTCTGTGCATATCTGTCTGTTTTTGAGACAGGTGAAGGACAAACAAAAAGGTCACCAGCATGGCACCATATGAAACTTGCCACAAAAAAAAAAATCTCAGTTTACTCACGGCAGTTCTCCTCATCGCTGTTGTCTGAGCAGTCATCATCATCATCACATCTCCAAGGAGTCGGGATACACCTGCCGTTCCTACACTGAAACTGACCGCTTTCACAGTCCAGATTAGTTCCTGTCATATAAGAAGTTGGAGTTAAAAGCAGTGCATGGGATTAAGTTATAACCAAGTAATAACCATAATAACTATTTAAATCCTTTGAAACCCACAATCTTTAACAGATTGTCACTTACATGTTTTTGACATATTTTAAATTAAAGATACATATTTAACTGTTGTTTAACGCATCCAACACTGCCATATGAATTCCAAAACAAACTGTTGGGAGTCATTCCATTATTACACATTCATATCTTCTGCACATTGTACATCCCAAAAAAACAAACTTCAAAAAGATCTGAAGCTAGGGTTATTAGGAATCACATGTTATAATAAACACATTTAGAACATTCCTGGCAATAGTTTTTTTTTTAACGATTTATACTTTAAGTTCTGTGAACAGCTGTTTGACAACACTATTACAAAAAATCTACGTGCACGTGCACTATGACAGCTCGCTGTAAATATATCGTAACCCATAACTGGTAGACGAGAAATGGCACGTGTGCAAAAGCAATTATTGTTATGTATGAATGACGCTGAAGACATTCAATGAGAGTTAAGTAAGAGAGAGTTAAGCACGTATGCATTGCTTTCAATGGTCCACTACAATGACAGACCTTGCTTGAAGAATATAGAGGTTACTATTATTACATTATTGCTTCGTGCTAGTAAACCTCCCCGCTAGCACGGCAAGACAAAACAACCCGCACGCGCACCAGACTGTCGTTTCTTTAAAACCCCAGCTGAATCAAGAGAATTGCGCGATTTAGCGCTCAAATGAGGTCTCGTCATCGAAAGTAGACGCACGCGGCTGCGTCGGTGTTTCTACAGCATCATTTACATTCATAACAGCGGGCTGTCAGCGTGAAACAGACACTCACCGTTCACCACCAGAAACCCCACGAATAGCCCATGTAGAAGCAGCAGTTTCCCTATAGCCGTCCACATGTTCACAAATCAAGGCTTTGTGCTCATACGAAATATAAAAAGGCCGTGCTGTACAGTCTGTAGCTCCGGTCTCCGTGCAGCCAGCGATCTGACTCTCCACAACCTCCACTCCGCTTTCGATAGCAGTTTGAATTGATGACGCCAACGCGGATAGGCGGGGTCGTGCGCGATGACTCGACCGTGTGGGCGGAGTTAGTGTTGATAAATTAAACAAAGCATGTCATCATCAGCCAGCACATCTTCAATGAGCGGACGTGCCTAGTGCTGTAGTAGTATAGACGTTACGTGGTATTGTGCTGAAAAATGCCATAGAAAACATAAACAGAGTTGATTCTTGAATGTTTGGGGTAATATTTCATTTTTAATTAAAATGTAACTTTGAAGTTGGGGTTAAACAGAGTGTTTATGTGTATGCCCGTGTTGTGTATTTGCATGTGTTTGGGCAGTTAAAATTTTCAGATATCTCTGCAATATTCATAACATTTCTCAGGCGCGTAGGCAGCCATGTAAAAGGGGTGGTTCTTTATTCTCAAAAAAGTGGACCTCTCTGCAGTTGTTTGCCTCATTTCATATTTAATTATGAGATTTAAATGCTAAATTTAGGTGACATATTATGTATTACTTTAGCTAATTAGCTTGTCGGATGGTCATCATAACTGAAAAAAAGTATAATAAAGAAATATGATAAATTGACAAATATATTGCATCATATATTATCAGAAAAAAAAATATTTTTTTTCGTATTATTAAAAACTGTAGCTGGCGACGCAGTGGCGCAGTAGGTAGTGCAGACACCTCACAGCAAGAAGATCGCTGGTTCGAGCCTCGGCTGGGTCAGTTTCTGTGTTGAGTTTGCATGTTCTCCCTGCGTTCGGGTTTTCTCCGGATGCTTCGGTTTCCCCCACAGTCCAAAGACATGCGGTACAGGTGAATTGGGTAGGCTAAACTGTTTGTAGTGTTTGAGTGTGAATGAGTGCGTGTGGAATGGATGTTTCCCAGAGATGGGTTGCGGCTGGAAGGGTATCCACTGCGTAAAAATGAGCTGGATAAGTTGGCGGTTCATTCCGCTGTGGTGACCCGGATTAATAAAGGGACTAAGCTGAAAAGAAAATGAATGAATGAAAAGCTGTAGCCTTTTGTAATTTGTTTGTTGTCACATTTAGCTTTTCTCAGTCAGAATGTGTTCATTTTAATAAAAAACAAATCTAAATATAACAAAACAACAACAATAATAATAATGATTTAAAGCTTCATGATTTTTCTAGCCTCTCTTGTAAAAAAGTACATTTGAAAATTAATGGATAACAATAAATGGAAAAATATACTTCAAATTGATTTTAATTTGGCCACTTTTGGTGCTTCACCTTTTAAATTGGTCATGTTTTCTTTTGAGAATAACGTCAAAGATTACGAATAAAAGGTCAAAACTTTTCTCTATATAAAAACAATGAGGTAGAGAAAGATGACTTTGCTTATGTCAGATGTTTTCTTGCACAGCTGGATGTTGGATGTGGAAAAATAATTGTTTGCATTGGCCAAAACTGATTAATCAGGATTTTGCTTGATTCTAAAACCCTTTTGGATGGGTTATTTTAACTATTTATGATGGCATAGCAGTCAAACTAGGTCCAGAATTCATGAGCTCATCTGTCCTTTGTCAGTTAAAGGTGGGTCTTCCAAACCACTCGAACGCCCCTGTCTACAGGCCTGATTTCTTAATTTTATCATTACAGTTATGATTAAGTAAGTTATGTTTTTTACTGTATTTTTTTAGACAATTTATTATGCATGAAGTATTTTCAGAAATTTATTTACCTATTTATGTACAGTTGAAGTCAGAATTATTAGCCCTCCTAAATTATTAGACCCCTGTTTATTTTTTCCCCCCAATTTCTGTTTAACGGAGTGTAGATTTTTTCAACACATTTCTAAATTAGTTTTAATAATTCATTTATAATAACTGTTTTATTTTATCTTTGTCATGATGACAGAAAATAATATTTCACTAGATATTTTCAAGACACTTCTATACAGCTTAAAGTGACATTTAAAGGTTTAACTAGGTTAATTAGGTTAACTAGGCAGGTTAGGGTAATTAGGCAAGTTATTGTATAATGATGGTCTGTTCTGTAGACAGTCGGGGGAAAAAATTGCTTAAAGGGGCTAATAGTTTAGTCCTTAAAATGGTGTTAAAAAGTTAAAAACTGCTTTTATTCTAGCCAAAATAAAACAAATACGACTTTCACCAGAAGAAAAAATATGATCAGACACACTGTGAAAATGTCCTTGCCTTGTTAAACATCATTTGGGGAAAAATTTAAAAACGAAAAGAAAAAATTCAAAGGGGGGCTAATAATTGACTTCAACAGTATGTATGAAGCTAGTTAGTTAGTTAGTATGCAAGTATAAGAACTCACATAAGAAAATTTATTTAAAGGGATAGTTCGGTGAAACTAAAAATTTTGTCATCATTTACTCTTCCTTTACTTGTTACAAACCTGTTTGAGCTTTATTTTTCAGTTCAACACAAACAATACATTTTTAACAATATTTAATTTTGTGTTCAACAGAAAAAGGAAATGGTTAAAGGAATGGAACCACTTAAGGAGAAGTTTAATGAGTATATTTTCTTTTTTGGGTAAATTATCTCCTTTAAGAACCGTCCCAGAAATCCCTGCAAGACTTATAACTTTAGTCTATTTCATATAAAATCTTATGTTGCTTCCCATTAAAAAAATATATAAGTGCACTGAAGTGTTGCATTATGTTGCATTATTTTAGATTCTGGTCTAACAGTCTGACTGGCATTATAAACAGGAAACTGTCGGGGGTCCCTGCAGTATGATGAATTGTTCCTCTTTCTTAAGTCTGAAAAAGAGAATGAAAAAAGTAAGAAAATGTGCAGAGAGAAAGAAGCTGAATGTTTTCTTCTTTCTTCTCTCTGTTGAGAAGGCATCATCAGTCAGTTGTCCTCTTTTCTCAAGTCTTCTTTTTGATATAATCACTGCTTATACTGTCGCTTCAGTTTATGCTAACTTAACCATACATGTGAATTAGTTTATTTTCTGTTTTAAAATTAATCACAAATAGTGAATTAAAGGAGAACAAGCCAAATGTATACCTTTTGTGTGATCTGCATGCTAATTTTATGTTCTTTCAGTTCAGAACTCTAATTTTTCATAAGTCATGCATGAAGTCTAAAAAACTGGCTATTGTCTGTCCCCAACTTTCTGTTTCAATTAGAAATAAATATTTGCTAATTATATTAAATCTGGAGACTACAAAAAATTCTTTTCTCATCTTGTCTTGTTTTTAGTTTAAATATCTTTAAAAATCTTAAATCAAGAAGCATTTTATAGACAAGCAAACATATTGATTCTTGATAAAAGAGTTTTTTTTTAGATATTTGGATTAGAAACAAGACAAAACTCCAAACTCTAACCAAAATTACACAATATGTTGGATAAGTAATTAGCCTAAATTGTATGTTATACACTGTTGTACAAATATTTGCAATTTTAATATGCCTTATTGTTTTTGTCATGAGCTATCAGCATCAATGTCTCCCTTCACTGCCATTCACAAAAGTCATATGCACACTGATGGACATGATGAACTGTTAAAAGTCACCAGAACAATTTTACCCTATGAGTATTGTGAAATCAATCATACTGTATGTGCATTGTTCACATTTTATGTAGGCTATTTTATGACTTCAATTTTCTTAAGTTTTATGAGGAATTATTTGATTACTTTTGCATTATTTTTCTACATACATTTTTCTTTCTTACACATATTTTTCCACTTTTCTACTATCATTTTAACAATGCTAAAATAAGAGGTTTTTGAATACATCTTTTCATCACCTAATAAATTAGATTATGCTTCAACATATGGATTATTAATAAACAAGCTCCTCAATAAAACATTTATAATATGAAAAAAACATAAAACAAAAATGCTTTATAACTTTATAACTAGTCAATACATTTAAAATACACTTTGAAATATGTATTGCAGTTTTTGTATTTGCATCTGTCATATTTAATGAAAATACATTAAAAAAATTTTAATTAATAAATTTACTTATATTATTTATTTATTTTTAATTAAAAATATATGTAATTCACAGAGTAATAAAAAAATAATGTCAACAAAATTAAGAAGTCTAAAACGCTGTGAGATTATCAGAACATAAGAGTGCAGGTCAGCTGAACAGCATTTTCCCTCTCTTTCAGTGGCAGAACTCGCCTAAACTGCCAGAACTGCTCGTTGCCAAGTTGCTGACCCAAAAAACAGAGAGATGTTTTGTCGATAACTGGCTGTTGGCCCACCAGCTATTCAGGTGAGAAACAGGATTTAAACATTAATGCATTAAAAGATATGACAGTGAAGAACTAGCTCTCTTCAATAACTTATGAGTAAAAACACAGACCTCGGCTTTGATGGAAATACACTATTTGATAACATTAATGTTTGATCATGTTTGCTGTTTGTTCAAATGACGTATTTAAAATGAGCTGAAACACAATTCTTGAGATTTTTTTGGCACAACTTAATTGATTTATGTTTAATCCACTTAAATTTGTAGTAACTAATAAGTTGTCCCAAAACAAATCGATTGTGTAGAACCCAGCACTTTTAAATTGAAGAACTGTACACAGTACAGTAAGTTGTTGATATTCTTTAGCTTGTCTATTTTAATGTGGTTTGTATGTTATATTCCAGTTGCTGATGTTTAAATAGTCCAGCGATTAGAATTTAATGAGGCATTTTACACAAATCACCTCAGTGGGTAAAAGGATGTGAAAGGAGGACCTTAGAGAAATGCATGAATTCATCACGTTTGCCAATCAGACTGGAAAGTGCGAGTGCCCTTATTATGCCTCAGACCCGACTCACGTTTCTGCTTCTGTGAATGCTTGCTGTCACCCAGGCATGAGAAGATGAGCTATTTCAGACACAGTGAATCATTGTGATGTTCTAATCTGGAAAACACT